TCACGGCTCAATACGAAATATCTGTTTTTATTACTCTCTTGCACGTGCCTCACATTCTTGCTCAGCTGGACCACTTGCTGCCCCATAACCACACTCTGCCCTTTCATCCCTCCGTGCTTTGTTCTTCTTATTCGGAGTCTAGGCTACCGGACCACTTATTCTCTGGCCCGATGAAATCCTCTTCCCTTTGTCCCGGACCCATCTCATCCTGATCCATCTTAACCAGTGATGACTTGGCCCAGTGGCTTGCACCTCCATTGCTCTTTGTTTGCAGTTCTTTTATTATACTCATTATATTAAACCTGATTTCCATTACAGTAATGTATGACTTTGTCTCCTTCATAGGTAATGGCTGTCTTACCAGCCTATTTATTCTCTACAGTATTTAACAATCTGCAAAAAGTGGTTACTCAATAAGCATTTACTGAATTTGAAACAGTTGTGCTTACTTATGAAAGTAAGGCTATTATATTATACTACCTATAATAGCAGCTCTCTCATAGGATGCTTATAAATATTAAATGAGATAATGCATGTGAAGAACTATTGAGGAGTAACTATTTTATCACTATCAATCACAGCTACTATTTCTTCAGTGTTCACCTGGCATAGTGCCTGGCATTGTACTAAGTGCTTTACGCATGTGGACTCCTTGAAACAGGGCCTGGCATGACGATCTTGTACTCCTTTGCACCAAGCAGATGAGATAAAGGTGTTTTTTAAATGATAGAGAAAAATGGCAAATTTAAAAGGAACTAATTGGCTATATTATTAAAAAGTTTGCTTGAATAAATAATGAAATCCCTGATACTTCACAGTGTAGTTTGGAGAAGCAAAATAATTCAAGATGTGCAAACGTATATGAAAACTTGCAAATCTTAAAAAAGAAAGGTTGTATTTGGCAAATCCATATCCAGTGTTCAGGACTGCTCAGGGGAAATGGCCCTGAGAACTCTGAAAGTCTCAATCCTCTCAACCATCAAATGGGCCAGTAAGTGGTACCTATCACACACAGGGTGCTGCGGGGATGAAATCAGATGATGCCAGTGAAAGGCTTGGAATAGTGTAACAAGCAAACATGTATATTTATATAATTTGTTTTTATCATAGAGATGCTCTCAATTATCTAATAAGCGAAGATCTAGGAGCATGATGGACAAGCTAAATCCTGAGTTAACCAAATTTTCTGAGTCACAACCTGTTCTAAATGCTTGACAGTGTGAAATCGGTGGCAGGTCAGGTTCATGCTCTCACTGCCCTTTATATGATAATGCAAATGGACATCAATGCGTAGTGCAGGGTTCAGAAAGGTTTCCGGAAGGAGAATGGAAAAGCTTGGGTAAGTCACAAGGCAGAGATGCATTTTTTAACAATTAAAATGCCTACTTCAGTTCTCACATCAGAGTCTATTCAAATGAAAACTAAATTTTTATATTTTTGTGAAATGCTTGCTTTTATATTTTACAGATATAATTTTCATTTGTTCTTTTGTTCATTTCAGTTTTTACAAGTGGTAAAATAAGCAAATAAGGCACCAAAGATCTGAAAGGCAGAATGCCACAATGTACCAAGCAATACTGTTTTCTTTTTCCAAGCATAATTACGTAAGCCATTTACAGTAGAGAAGACATTAAAGGAACCATTTCAAGAAAATTTAAAGGGAAGTTCAGAAGTTCCTTTTAGTAAGTGTCCAGCTTCTTGGTATCATAGTATGAATCTCTTTAGATGTTAGGATGTACAAAGCATGACATTTTAAAAGGTGGTGACACAGATGGAAATAAAAAATGGTTTGCAATGATTCAAATGCATAATTTACTGCACTTATAAGCATTTCTTTTTTAAAATCTGTATTTGTAAAGGCACCAAAATAATCAGTTTTGTATGATTTTTTTGTTTGTATGTATATAAATACTTATGTATGGCTGTTTTTTATCAGTACAATTCTGGCTTTGAATGCTATGGAGACATAAATGAAAAGACAGTGGCCGAGTTGCCCCTTAGTTCACATATAGAGCTGCTCGTATAAGAATACCAGGTTTTAAACTCCTAGATTCCACTGTCTAGTAAAATTTCCAAAACAGATTTGGGGAGGCTCACCTAGATTGCCAAATTTTAATTTTGCAAGGCATTAAAGAATACAACACATTTCCCAGACAAGGAAAAGCTAAAGGAGTTCATCACCACCAAACCAGTGTTACAAGAAATATTAAAGGGATTTCTTTAAAAAGAAGAAAAAAGACCAAAAATGTGAATAATAAAATGTCAATAACTACATACTTATTAATAATTATTTTAAATATAAGTTGATTAAATGCTCCAATAAAAAGACATACGGTGGCCGAATGGATAAGAAAACAAGACCCTTACATATGCTGCCTACAAGAGACTCACTTTTGATTGAAATACACACAGACTCAAAGTAAAGGGATGGAAAAGATATTTCATGCAAATGGAAATAGAAAAAAAAAAAACCTGGGGTAGCAATCCTTATATCAGACAAAATAGACTTTAAGAGACAAAGAAGGACCTAGCAATTCCACTTCTGAATATTTTTCTGAAGAACCCCAAAACACTAATTCAAAAAGACATATGCACCCTTATGTTCATTGCAGCACTATTTATAATAGCCAAAATATGGAGGCAGCCTAAGTGTCTACAAATAGACGAATGGATAAACTTGTGGTACCTATATACAATGGACTATCACTCAGCCATAAAAAAAGAGTGAAATCTTGCCATTTGTGATGACATGCATGACCTTGAAGGGTATTATGTTAAGTGAAACAAGTCAGAGAAAGACAAATACCATATGATTTCACTTACATGTGGAATGTAAAGAATGAAATGAACAAAACAAACCAATTAATAGAGAACTGATGGTTGCCAGTTGGGAGAGGGTGGGGGGGATGAGTGATAGAGGGAGGGGATTAAGATGTGCAAATTGCCAGTTATAAAAACAGTCACGGGGATATAAAGTACCGCTTAGGGAATATAGTCAATAATACTGTAATAACTATGGATGGTGTCAGATGGGTACTAGACTTAACGGGGGGGTCATTTTGTAAGTTATATAAATGTCTAAGCACCATGTTATATACCTGAAACTAATATAATATTGTATGCCAACTGTAATTAAAAAAATAAAAGATTTAATAATTAAAAAAGCATATTATCAATAACTTATGAAGAAAAGAGTATTTTCATACCTTCCATGATTAAGAAGACCATGATATCAGAATAATGGACAGTTTTGTGCATTAAATAAATTTAGCATTAAGTTAAACTCATTACAGTGTTCTCTTTCCTGTGTTGATGGGACCAAAAAGTATTCATCAGAGGCCTGCCCGCCGATCTGTGGTCCAACATCCTACAGTTACTATGAGAGGGCACAAAATGTGCCAGAGAGCTCATAAAATGTCTACAATTAGGGCACTCATTTTTATTTTTTCCTTAATATGGCTAAAATGAAGGGAAAATATCAATAAACGCCTCCATTATGTAAAATAATGTTTTAATGTAGAATTTAGAATGTCTAGTATGTGATATTATCAATGTCTCTAAATGTTCTGCTCCAAAAGCAGTCACTAAAAAGGCTGAATCCATAAAGTTGAACCTAATCATCATTTTTCTACTCCTTTGTTAGAATAAACATTCAAAATATTTACTGGAAAAATGGCCCCCCAAATTGTGAAATTGTGAAGTTTATGTGTCAGTAAGTCTTCCGAAGCATTCAAAGTACTTCATACAAACATGTTATAAACATGAACACTCACAGCCTACTTGAAATACATGTACAGATGAGATACTGGCTGTGCTTTACCACAAGTAAAATGAATGGAGAGAGAGCAAGGATAAGTTACATCCAACTAAACGTCCATAATATGTTCCTATTGGCTGAATTAAAAGAATAAGTATGACTGAAACTGATTTTTTTGAACGCCTATTCATTTTAATAAAATTGAAATTTTTAACTAATTAAAGAAATACCATCAAAATTTGTTCATAAAATGGCATTCAATAACAGGACATATTTTACTTTTGGAGAGGTTTTTTTTTTGGTTTTTTTTTTTAATGCAATGGTAAAGCTATGATCACTCACTGCCAGGATGCAATATGGCTGAAATGTTCAAAGAAAGAGTTAAAGTAAGAATATAGGAATACAACATCTAACAAAACCAGCCCAGTGCTCAAATTATTCCAAGCAGAATGTGGATACTCTCTCTGGTTAGTGGATTTTCCAGATCATAACTTTTCATTCTCTACTCTCTCCTGCCTCTATACATAATAAAATATCCTGTCATTCATTTACATCTTGATCCAATGGCCCCCACATATAGGAAGTACGGAGGTGAGAAAATCTTGAGCATTTTTATTTAAATACTAATTAGGACCCTGATTTTAAAATTTTTTTATTTAGAAATCTGGGCTAAAATACATTGTTGGTGGTATTAGCAGATTTTAAAATTCTAAGCTTTTAGAACGGTTTGTTGTAGTGGCTAACAGTATAGGCTTTGAACTTATTAACTGTGTGAACTTGGATTTACTACTTAATCTCTCTGTGCCTCAGAATTCTTCGTCTCCAAAATGGGGATAATAAGGGCACGATTCTCATAGAGCTGGGAGATTAAATGAAATAGCATATTTAAGGCACTTAAAACAGAGCCTGGTGAATATGTTCATTAGTGTTACTTATTATTATTACTGTTACTGCTACTACTTATTCCTAGAGTACTTGAAAAATTCACTGCATTTATGGAAGATTACCGAAAGAGTTGAATATATTTTAAGTACCATATCTATCAATTCTGACATGAGAGAATTTCATCAGATGAGAAATGTTCTCAGAGTTCAGAGAGCTAAAAAAAAGAAAATGAGTAATTGCAGAGAGAGTATCCTTCACAGTGAATGACATCAGTTTTACCTATCAAAAAGAAATATTAAGGTCTGAAGCCTTGCAGGAAACCTGAGCAATGAGCAAGTTCCCTGGAAGCCACACTTACCCCTTGTTCATCCAGTTTCATGAGCTGCTCTGTGACTTTGGGCGTGTTGAAGGCCAAGCGCAGGCACTGGATGTTGAGCTCGGGAATCACGTGCTCCAGCACTTCTTTCAGGGGTAGCCCTCTGGCTGTCGAGTGCTTTGCCGTTGAAGGAATGGCATCCTCCAGGACTGAACCTCTCAGTGTCATGAGCTGAAAAGAGATCCATGCTATGGTGAGGAGAGTGAACACAGGAAGTCCCCCTTATCCGTGGGGATATGTCCCAACACCCCCAGGGGATGGCCGAAACCGTGGATAGTACTAAACCCTATATATACTGTTATTTCCTGGACATACATACCTATGATAAAATTTAGTTTATAAAGTAGGCACAGTAAGAGATTAACAATAATAATAAAATAGAACAATTATAGCAATACAATGTAACAAACTTTAAGTGAATGTGGTCTTTCTCTCCTCTCTCTCATTGTACTGTATTCATCTTTCTTCTTGTGATGACGTGAGATGACAAACTGCCTACATGATGAGATGAACTGAGGTGAAGGATGGGAGGCATCGTGACAGAGCATTATACCTACTACTGAGCTTCTAACGATATGTCAGGAGGAGGATCATCGAGCCATAACGATGTTGACGGTTGGATGTGAAGAACAGACAATGTCAATGGTTGGGGACATTTAATGTTTTCAGACCACGGTTGACCTCGGGTAACGGAAACTGCGGGAACTGAAACCGCAGATAAGGGGGGACTACCATACATCAAATGCACTGAAAGCCTAGACTGCGATCCTCCTGAGGTAGCTGGGAATAACTTGACTGCTTAAGCCAGTGAGAGGAAAAGGATGAGGGACACGATGTGAGATACTTCACGCAGGAAAAACGAAACCAACATTTTCAAGAAGACCCAGGCAAGTCCAAAGGAACTCATATGCAAGCCTTCTAAGGACATTTACTTAAATGCTAAAAACAGTACTTCCTTAAAGAACTCAGTAAGATCAATGTTTCTATATGGCTATAAAATGCCACTAAATACACTAACTGGGAAAATAAGTAGGTGATATCCCAGAGAAATATCTAAAGTGTAAGTGCTTAGAATTTAGATGCTACTGTATACGTTTTTGAATGATAAAAAGTAAAGGAGAAATAAAGTTTTAAATTTCATAATATATTGCTGACACGCATAAACTATTCATACCCACAAATGCTTCTTTAATAGGACACTGATGATCGTTGGGCAGTAGAGTCTGGACAGCACTGAAAATTATTTTAGGTTTTCCCTTACTTCTTGAAACACCTTTCATTGTTATGAAATACAAACATAAGGAAAGGAATTTCCTTATGTAATGATGGCTTGTTGGAGCAAAGTTAACCAGGCTTGAAGCCTAAAGTAGTCTTAATTTCCCCAAATTTGCTTGTGGCAAAGTTGTTAATATAATTAAAACCCTGTATGGTGACCTAAGGAAAAAACCCAGTATATTGAACAAATTTCCATTAAGCCCATAGGTTGTAAGGTACTGAACTGCAACTGGGGCTACAATTGAGCTAACAGAGGAGTACACACAAGTTGATTGATGTGGATGGATGGGTATGGCGTGCAAGTCGGGGAGAGGTATGAAATACACAGCTGCAATTCAGGAAGGATATGTTTCCTAAGAAAAATGTAACAAGTTCGGGTCCTAAGAGAGTTCAAAGGAAGAAAGCTGAGAGCTGTGGCTCAGAGCATATGGAAAGGCCCTCATAGAAGGGTGGCACAACGCGGGGCCATGGAATCTAGAAAAGATTCTATAAAAAGAAAACGTCAAGAGAGCAAACGTATGGAGATGAAAAAGAACAGGGTGTGAAGGGAAAAGAGCGACTGCTAGAGCTGAGCTGGACCTAAGGAGAGCCAGCCCAAGGGTGGGCTGGGTGGTGAAGCTGTAAGGTGTGGGGAGCCCCAGGGCTGGAGACTCTCATGCCAACTCAGGGGTGTGCACCTCACCGGCTCCAAAGGGCACTCTCAGCATGCTTTTGAACTGGGGTGATGACAATGATGTATATTTTAAGGAAATTGAGTTGGCAAATAAGATGAATTGCAAAGGGAGGCACCAGGGGGCAGAGAATAGAGTTAGAAGGAAGCTGTAAGGGTCTTAAAGTAACAGGAAAAGAGAGCAAAGAGAGCATGATGCAGGACTAGCAGGGAGAATGGAAGCCAAAGGGAGAGTCACGAGGGAAGTAAAATCTGGAACATTTGCCAATGGATGGAGAAGGAAGGTGAATGTAAGAAAAGCAAAACTCACCATCTTGTTCAATACACGAAAAGGGCCCTTGAGGGATTTGCAGTCTATTCATTTGAGGAGTATCTTTTCCTTCATTTACATAATTTGTTTTCAAGTAACACTTGTATGAAAAACATCATTTTCCTATGACTTAATATCTAGTTTGAAAGAAACAATTTTGTTTTTTTAAATCACGGGAAACCGACCGCTGGACAACTCATTGACTGCACCCCACCTTCCCTGGGGACAGGAACCTACAAAGGCTGGCGGTATTTTCAGTTGAGAAACCAAGGCCAGGAATGCTAATGACTGCCAATCAGGGGCCACAGGAAGACAGCAGCTCACGAAGAAAGCCAAAGCAGATGAGGAGGACTGGCTTTTATACCTGAATCACTAGCATAACTGATATTTTTGTGAATGACTTCTAGAAAGAAGAGAATCCTCTTAAGTCCCCATGCGCCTCTACTTAAAAGCACGCACGTGCCCTGGAGAGTTTGTTCACAAATTCTCATGTTTACAAATCAATGCGTTTGTTTTTTTTAAATATATGTTGTGCAATGATTATTTCTATTGAAATGACAGATGTCTGTTTCTGTTTCTGTTACCTTGAATGCTATTTACTGAAGCAACTGGCGTGGCACTGTGGTGACCATGTTTTTCTCCATATATGTATGAACATGAGAAATTAATAGCATGAGAAGTCCCTGCAAAGGCATAAAAATGAAGTCTTACTTTTATATATATGGCTGTCCCACAAAGTTCAGGAGCTGTAGGCTGAAGCCAACATCTAGAGTATTTCCATCAAAGAACTTGGAAGAAAAGGAGGAAGGAAGGAAGGAAGGAAGGAAGGAAGGAAGGAAGGAAGGAAGGAAGGAAGGAAGGAAGGAAGGAAGGAAAGGAGGGAGGGGGCAGAGAGGGAGGGGAAGCACTATTTTGGCACTCAGATAAAAAGTCCTATCCTCATTGGGTTTATATTCTAGTGGCAGAGACAGAAAACGAACAAAATAAGTACAATACACGAGATAGCGTTAAGTGTTCATGAAAAAACAAAGCCTGGAACTGGATTTGAAATGGGGGTTTGAGGGGGTAGTAATTTTAGATGCAGTGGTCCAGGAAGGTCCCTGTGATTTATGAGTAACGGCCAGAAGGAAATGAGAGCGCTGTGGCCAGGAGGATGCCGGGAAGAACACTGCGCCACAGAGGAGGAGGGCGCATCCCAGACCTGGGGCAGAGGAAGGACTGAGGAGGGGGAGGTGGAGATGCGGTTGGTAGCAGATCTGCATGGTCGCTGAGGCTACCAAAGAGGCTGGCCTTGACTCAGACAGAGGTGACAAACCATTACAGGATTCTGAACTGAGGAATGACAAGATCTAGATTACATTTCAAAAGGATCCCTGATGGGCTGAAAGAATGCAGGGTTAAAGGGCAGAAGTAGGAAGAACAGTTCTCAGGGAAAGATGATGGTGGCTTCACCCAGGCCCAGGCCATGGGATGGGAGAAGTGGCGGAATTCTAGACAGATTTTGAAGACAATGTCAACAAGTTTTACTTATATTTGGGGGGGCATGAGGGAGGAGATTTGGGGGGAGAGAGGGAGAATAAGAGAGGAGTCAAGTGTGGCTTCAAGGTTTCCGGCCTGAACAACTAGAATAATAGAGTTGTCACCAGCTAAACATTAATTTGAGCATGAAAACTAGTGGTAATGGTGTTCTGAACCATGAACAACATTTAATTTGGATGTTTCAATCAAAGGCTAAGGAACCACTGGACCCAAGAGATGGGTTAGCAGGAAAAGGGCTGACTAGAGAACAGGAGGGCAGTGCAGGTTGAGCATGTTAGGCCCAGGTAGCAACAGATGAAAGAACAGATGTGGGGAAGGCAAGAGGCAGTGCGGTTTACCCACCACAGCAGAGGGAGCATGTTACTTCTGTGCGACAGCAGTTACTAGAGGGAGGCTGAGACCAGACGTGCAGTGCCTGCAAGGAGGCCGAAAGGGAAAACCAAGGAAAGCAGTAACAGGGTCCGAGAAAGAAAGTGCTGATTCAGACAATGTCAACCTCTGACGTGGAGGATGATAGGACCGTGGCAAGAGGAGGAATTTCAGTGGCTTAAAAACACAGAAAAGGAAGGATATGACGGGGGCTTACATCAGAGTGGTCCTGGGAGGAGAAACGGGACACGGAGGACAAACACGCTTGGGAGGCTCATAGGCCAGATATCTGGTAGGACCCGAGAAGCTAGAAACAGCTAACGACCTGCATCCAAGCACACAGTGTGTTCTCGTGCTTTTCATTTTCAACAAAAGAATTTACACAGCTTCACGACGGCTTTGGCGTGTTAGTTCTTCATTTCTCTCTGGCCCGCTCTATGTGACACATTAGATTAATAAAGTCGTGCCTTTAAAAATCCTATTTTTAATTTCCCAAGAGTTCATGCTTAGGAACAATGCCTAAGTGAGACCAACCCCTAAAATTCAATGGGAGAAATGAAGCCAAATGCCCTATTTAAACTAGTTTCAAAAAAAACATTATTTTCCAGATGCCTCAAGGGGGGTGTTAGGCGTTAATGTATAACAACAATCTGAAAGTGAATTAGGCGCCGAGGCAATAAGTGGATGACTAGCACAACTATACATGTTTAGAAAGAAAATACAAGAACTTCATAGTCCCAAACTTGTTCTTGAGGTTTTTTAAAAAATGCTGTGTTGGCTATTTTATTTTTCCTTCTCTTTTTTAACCTGAATTTTAAAATCAAAACTCACATATTATGTGTACTTAGATTCTTATAAAGCCCCAAGGGCCTGCTGCACCCACATCAGATAGTCTCTGGTTCAAAGAGTCTATGTTCTAGGCCTCAGCAAATACATCTAAGAGAGAGCAAAGTGAACACAGAAGAAAAAAAAAAAAGTCTTTTTCCTTCTTCTGGGATCAAGAAATGTCCAGAACAATAGTTTGGAAGAGTGAGTTAAGTCCTGGGTGACGCCCTCTCCTACATGTAAGAGCCCTAGCCCCTCAAGCTGGCGGGATCCTTCTCGATTGCCCAAGCAGGATAGGCAACGTCCCGCTGGGGATTCTGAGGGCTCCGATTTCCTTGGGCCACACTTAATGGACGTATCTTTCTCTGCATCTAAACTCCCATTCATCTATTGCATTTATCCAGAGCTAGATGGAAAGAAAGGATCCAGAGCTAACCATTGTGTGTACACCGTCACCACCAGAATGAATGAAAGGGGACTTTGTTTATTCTCAAGACATTTGTTACCATGTGATATTGAATTTAATGGCTTTGCTACTGTTACTACTCTATTTTCTTTTTTCCTCACTTCCATTAAGCCTCACCTTTCTCATTTGCTTTCTCACTTACCTCACTAGTTCTAAATATTATTCGGTAGTTGTAAGGAGATCCATTTTCTTTCATTTCTTCTGGTTTTTCCCTTCGAATGCTCACAGCCACTGGACCAAGATTCTCATCAGCCCCAAAATAGTTCCAGTGTTCTTAGGTAAAATAAGACAAAACAAAATTAAAATGTTATGTTCTGCTTGATATTTTACATCACTCAGAAATTACTCTACATTGATAAAATGTAAACACATTTAACAAATATTAATATTCTTAAATATTAATGAGTTACAAAAACAAGGACTTGGCTACACAGGTTTAGTTTCAGAGGCGGTAACACTGAAGAGAGGTGGCCTGTTGAGCTGTTTTATTACTCTACAATTACCACGCTACTAATTTTTTAAAAGAAATTTGTGTTTTCTCCCTATATCCTACCATTTAAATAGGCTACATTGTGCTATTTCTTGCCTAAGGGAAAGTTTGTGTCAGGGCTTTTTAGCTTTTCTAAAAAAAAGAACCAAAAACCTTACATCACCGAGGAAAACGGGATTTGGGGAAAAGGGGGTTTCCCCCCAGATAAAAAAGGAATTTCCTGGATGGAGCGAGGTCTGGGAATCACTGAGGAAAACTTTTCTTCCTGGGGAGCCCACATACGATGGAGCAGGGGCTCAGAGGCAAGAGCTTCGAAGTGCCCCAGGTCAGAGAAGCCCAGACCCAGGGCTCTGTGACTCACAGCGGTTGTTCCCATGTAGTGACCACAAAAGGAATCCCATCCCACAAAGCCGCTGGGCCTGGAGGGCTTGTGTGGGCTGGCTGGGACAACAGGCCTCCCTCCTAGGTAACCAGTGACATGATTCAGGGAACTCTGCTCAAGACCCCAAACCTTAGCAAACCTTGGGAGTTGGGGGAAAGTCTCCTTATGACTGGTGCTGAATTTACCTTCCTCCTGACAAGAAGGAAGGTCAGGATCAAAATTAAATTAATTTACAGAAAATTTTAAAAAGTGATCTTTACTGTGTACCTTCTTTAAAAAAATTAAAATTATTGATACATATATGAGATGTTCACAGATGAGGAAGTCCATAAAATACTAGAATATATGAAAAGCTAGAGTAGATAACTTATTTTTCAAATACTTACTACTGTACATTGTCCTATTTCATTTACATGTGACATGACTGAATGAGTTGTGACATGGTTATGTTACTCTCATACAAAATGTATAAACATTTGAAAACACGTATTATTCCCACACAAAATATATAAGTATTTGAAAGTCTATGAGAAAAATAAGACACAGCAGCATAAAATATCTTATCTGTACTTTTAAAATTTAGGCAATACATATGGCAAGTACTAAGGAATGACTATAAACGATAATCATAAATACTGAGGGCTCTCTAAGATGATCATAATCTATGGAGATTCAAAAAAGAAAACCATATGGGGATACAGGCAACAAACATCTCACATATGGACACCTGAGAAACAACCCAATAAATGTCACAAGATTCATGCGTAGACACTCATGTACACCCTCAAAGCACAGGACGTGAGAATCACACTTAGAGGTGATTGACTCTCACTTTGCACATAATTTTAATAAGCTTGGTTGTCTGGTCTTCAAGCCTTTATTTCAGAGGTTTGATAATTCCAGATGCTGACAAAGGCCAGGGTGTAAGGCTGATATAGACGTGCATGCAGTCAACAATGTGACAGAACCACCGACAACAAGGAAGACAACAGGGAGGAGGCACAAATAGTATAAGAGAGCGGACAAGAACTTAAAGAAAAACAAGACAGCAGTCTGCGGAGCTTTACTGAAGGAGCACAGAACTTAACACACTTCAATAACCTCAGAGAATATTTTAATGCCGCAGCACAGAACAACAGCAATGAGTCAAAGACGAGCGTGAGTCACATTCATTACATTCTGTTCCTGAACGTCAAGGACTCAACAGAAACCCGACTCTCCAGAAACCCCTCAATTGCACTGGAGAAACCTCAGGAAGGGCAAGTGAGACTGCTGTTCTCTGCTGCTGGGGAAATTCACAAAGGTATTGGGCCACTGTTCATTTGTCATCAACAACCTCAACTGGTCCTCCGGCAGCCCCTGGTCAGCTCTGGTTCCCCTTCTCTAGAGCAGATATTTCACACATTCTCTGTTCTCCTTCGACCTCCCCTCACCTGCTTTCCCCTCAGTCTCAGCAAATGACAATGCTGTCTACATCCCAGGGGAAATAAAGAAGCCATTCCAGAGGCCAACGTCCTCATTTTCTATCATACACACAAGCTTACCTGGGCCCAGGCCTCTGCTTCCTTCTCTTTACAATCCAAACCCAATCTCAGCCTAAATTCTGGCCTCCACTCAGTCCACCTTCCCAGGGACTGATGCCTGATCACCCTCTCTTCATCTTCAACTTCTCCCCCCTCTACTGCTCACTCCTATCATCATTTACTCAAACTCAAGCCTCCTTCATCTTTAAATGTAACCCCCTAGCTCCTTATCGCCCGCCCTTCAGGTTAACTCTTCTTTCTTTCCTTCCAGTGGAAACTTCTTGAAAGAGCTGCCTAATTCCTCACCTTAGAATTACTATAATCTGACTTCCATCGCACAGGCACCAATGTCAGCCTTCGAGTTAAAAACAAGTAGATATGTTGCTGGTCCTTACCTTGCTCAAACTCTCCTTATCGTCTGGCATACCTGATTATCTCATTGTTTTTCTTCTTTCTAGAAACACTCTTCCTGGCTTCTAAGGCACCACCCTCTCCTGATCCTTCTACCAGTCTGGCTGTTCATACTGTTTCCCTTCCTCTTCCCATGCTCAATATTCCCAACACTCAAAACTTCCAACTGCCACGTCAATATTGACGACTCTCAGAAGTCTACGCGTGGCTACAGGCTTCTCTAAGCCCTGGATCTCCACTTCTACCGAGTGGAACTGTTTGTCCCGTGGGCACCTGCAGAAGTGAACCCATCACCTTCCCTTCAAACCTATACACCCTGCGGTCCCCATGCCAGTGCGTATTACCACGTTCACCGAGCTGCGCATGCCAGACCCACCATCATGTCCTGTGAATTCTAATTCCTACATCCTTCTCAAATCTACTTTTTCTCCATCCCACGGCCACTGACTTCCCATCATCATTTGCCTGGACGTTTGGTAAGTCTACCTGGTTTGCTTTTATCCAACTCATTTACACAGCAGCCAGGTGATCCTTCTAAAATGCAACTTGGAATGTCACTATTAAGTTTAAAATCCTTTCCTGGTTTCCCAAGGGTCCTTGGGTACTGTTCATGGCTTCCCCAAGGCCCACACAGCCTGTCACCTGCCTAGCACTTCCATCTCAGCTTAGACCTTCCCATCAGCCTTCTGAACTCTGAGAACCAACTATACTGAACTTCTCTTAATTGTTCAAACTCACTGTGTCCTTTCTCACCTGAAAAACTCTACCTAGAACATTCTTCCCACAACTCTTCTTTACTTGACTAAGTCCTCTCTCATCCTTCAGGTCTCATCTAAAATATTACTTAGCCTCTAAAAGAGTGATTGAAGACTGGAGTTTTCACACAAATGAAAGTGTTTACTTTGTATGTTAAAATGAATTATTTAAAAGTGTTAAGAATTCATAAAAATAAAAATTAGTGAAACCAAGTACTGATATATTTCAAATACAAAAATATAGAAATGTCATTAACATAAAAATGTAAACTTTTTAAGAAACAAATATTAAACACCATCATTTTAGTGTAAATTATCAGATAAAATAATAGTGCTATTTTAGAAAGAAATTAAACCTTACATAAAAAATGAAAAATGTTAAAAAACAAAAAATTAAAGATCATTTAAACTTTTTTCATGTGTCACCATCAACACCCGACTATATTCTTGTGCGAGTTTTCCCAGCTGCTGAAGAAATACATTTCTGAGTTGCAGGAATGTTGATGAGATAATTATAAACTAACTTCTAACACTTTCTTCAGTCTCTATCATCAAACAAACCCATCTTTGGTTGGATAACTCTGGGAAGATCATTCAAAACTTATATGTATGTTTGTACAGAAACATCAATCTTTTTTTATTAAAAAAGAGCTCTCGCTATTACTGCCAAGAAAGCATTTCCATTTGGTCTTCATCTATTTCAGATTCCTTGGTGTAGATAAAGATTGTGATCTGGTTTCCTGTGTTAAATTCACTATTATCATGATCAGACTCTGCTTGTTCATAAAGTCTTTCAACTTGAGTAAAAATTACAATAAAAGCCTTGTTGGTTTTTTGGTGTTTTTAATCCACTATTTTTCTGCTCCTGAAGATTATAGAGGAAAAACAACAACCCTTGGGCTGCAAGTTTCCTCAATGGTTAGAGCGCAGTGCTTCTAACACCGAGGTTGCCAGTTTGATCCCCACATGGGCTGCGGAGATGCACCCTCCACAAATAGATTGAACCAACTACTTGGCTTGGGGCTAATGGGTCCTGGAAAAACACACTGTTCCCCAGTAAAATTTCTTAAAAAAAAAAGAAAGAAACAACCCTTTCTACAAAAACATTTTATTCAATTCAAAATCCTAAAGCAGTTTAACTCTACTGGAGAGGAGTCTGGTTTGACAATGACCTTAAATTTAACTTCTGAGTACTTAAACTCTGGTCTCAAGACAAATGACTCAGATTTTTTTTTTTTTTGAACTAAAATACCAGCCTGTTAGGGATCCCCTCAGTCTGGTCCTTCAGTGTCACTGGACTGCAGTGCCCTCTCAAGACCACAGCCTTGGGACAGCACGTCTTACTCGCTCCATGCCACTGCCTTTTCAATTTTTCCCTTCCAGCCATCTACCTCTATCCTTTGCTAGTGGAGCTCCCCACCACTTGCAGAGAGCTCTTCCAGCCACACCCACAATCAGCTTTGTCTTTGGGGGGTGGAAAGAGAAGAAGAGGAACAAAGACAGCGGAGCTGCAGACGACGAAAGGCCAAGAAGCCTTTGGGGAGAGAATTCAGGATGATCGGGGTCAGAGGAAGGGAAGGGGAAGGGAACAAGGAACGGACACGCACGTCAGGGTGGGTAAATCTGCTGATGGATTAATTAAAATACAGGTATTATACCACTAAAAATAACCATATTTTAGTGCCAACCTACAGGAATGCCAGAAAGCAACA